AGCCACCGGCGGCCTCGGCTCGGTTGCGTGAGCCCGTCCAGCGGCAGGAGACAGCAGGAACTCCAGTTATTGCACTCGGGTGGGACGGCTGTATGGCTTTGAGCTTTGAACCCGTGGGACGGCCGTCCCGGCTCCCGGAGAGGGGTTGGAAAAGCTTTTCCTTGTGCACGGCCGCTTTCCCCCCTCTCTCGCGGTGGGAGGGAGGAAGGCGCAGCCGCGTAGCCCTGGCGAGCGGAGGCACTCGTGGTGGTCATGGCTGTAGTCTCGGGTGTTGCCCGCGCTGTCGGCTCCCCGCAGGGCGCTCCACGAGGGGCAGAGGGTTGCAGGCCACCAGGGCTCTTCATACTGGATCAACCCGGTGTGAGGGAGAGGAGAGGGGAGGAAGAGAAAGACAGGGTTAGTGCCAGAAATACACAAGCGAGGAGCAGCAGGGAGCAGAGTGGAGCACCTAGGCTTGGTGGCAGAAAGGCAGGACAGTCTGGGACAGAGGAGAGTGCTGGCAGCCTTCCTCCATCGCTGCCGCCGAGGCGCGGGCCGGCAGGAGCTCGTGGGGCACTGCAGGGAGGGAGAGGGGCAGCCCCGCAGCCCACAAGGGAAGCAGGGCTTCGTCACAACGTGCTTTGGAAGGAACTCACTGTGGCCACAGTCATGTCAGAGGAGGAACTTGGTGCCACAGAGAGGAAAAGAGGCAGAGGAGGAGGGAGGGGAGGGATTGCCCGAACCACAGAGCAGCGGGCCAGAGCTGGGGTTAGCAATCTGCTCCAGGCTCCCACTCCTCTGTTCAGGCTACAGCTCACTCCAAACGCTAGATCACTTGGGAGCTTCCACCACCCCCACCATGGCAGCTCCACCGAGCACAAACCACGGCGGCATGCCATCCGGCAAGCCCCAGCCTTCGTGAACCCTCAGCCACCCCCTTTTCCAAGCGGCACCCAGCACCCACCACACAGACCAGGTGGCTCCATCCTGTACCAAGCCCCAACCCAAAGCTGGGGGAAAGCGTCCCCCTCTTCTCGCCACGGTTGCCGGCAACACCTCTGCCACGCAGCCCTACACCAGGATGACACAAGCCAGGGCTCAGCACCCCTTGCGCCAGCGGGATGCCGGTGGGATGGACGGGCATGCGGCACACAGATGTCTAGACAGCTGGAGGGCGATGGGCTCCGTGGGCAGAGCTGGTCATGCAGTGGAGATGAGATGGGTCACTCGAGTGGATGACGGGGAAAAATAAGCACTTTCTTACCAGCTAACCCTCAGAAAGCAGGGCTAACGTCCAGGGAGGGGGCAAATCCCGTCAGGCTGTGCAGGAAATGGCAAAGTCCTGGCAGGCATCCTCCTGGGGAAGACACCAGAGATTACGTGCTCAGCATCTGCCGGTACGGCCGGAGAGGGCTGGCTCGGACAGGGGGACCACAGACCCCGGCGCAGCCCTGGACCGAGCGAGGCGGGTGGGGAAAGGATGCTGAGGTGATGGCTCCTGCAGGAAGGGGACCAGCGAGCGGATGAGACCCTGCCCAGCCTGGAGAGGTGGGACAGAAAAAACCCTGTGCTCCAGCAAGGGTCACGACAGCACCAATTGCTATGCACCCCTCGTAGCCCCATCCTGCAGGCGGTTATAAGAGCACCCGAGGCCTGGGCCTCATCAAGAGTCCAACTGCTGCCTGACAGATGTTAAACACAGAGACATCTGCCCTCTTCTGTCTTAAAAGAATAAAATAATAATCCAAGCAATTAACTCTTTAAAAATATAATTTTATTACGTTGAGTAACAAAGAAAACCCGTTTAAATAAAAACAGGAAGGAATTTGGCCCCTGATAGATAATACCCCCAACACTGCTCCTCACTCCCCTGCACTAGACCCTCTCCGCACAGCGCGGCTCGCCCCGGCCCCACGCCTGCCCCTAGAAGGGAGCAGCGAGGCTCCTCGAAGGCAGGGACAAGCCCCACCGGGCACATCCCTGCAGGAGAAGGAGGGAGGGAAGGGCAGGGCAGCTAAAGCACCCGGCCTGGGAGATGGCACGAAGCTGCAGGGCCGAGGTGGCCGGCAGAGCGGCACCGGGAGCCTCCCCGGGCAGCGAAGGCTGTCTGCTGGGATCCGGGAGAAATTCTGCAGCCGCCGCTGTGCTCTCACCTCAGCTCTTCGCAGAGGGGAAGGTAAGAGCCGGTGGCTGCAGCAAACGAGCACCGAGATCTCTGTGCAGCCAGCCAAGAATGTAAGGGCCAGGGGAACCTTGTGCCTCTGCCGTGCCCCCCCGAAGCGGTGCACGGGCTGGAGCAGTCACTCACAGTGTGGAAAGCACGACGCTGGTGAGTTCAGTGGGGACAGGCTGCCCCCAGAAATGTGCTGCCTCTGCCTGAGGTTGAAATACATGCGTCTGACCCACGGAAACCTAACCAGGCAGCTTGACACAAAACGCTGCCAGCCTCTGACCCGGTGCTAACATGCACAACGCTACCTGCACTGAATATAAAACATTCTACATAAAGAAAAAAAAAAATCTACAAATTGTGCAAAAATATCCAGCAGCTTTTAATAACACGATTCAAGTATTGCTAACAAGGTCTGTGACTCTCCTCTGCGCACACTCCGGTGTCAGTGACGCAGAGCTGGCTGCCCGGCCCAGCTCCCCCGTGCCTCTGCAGGTCTGGGTGCTCGTGGGTGAGCCCAGGCCCACGGGAATCGCTCCCGAGGCACCGAGGACAGCCCTGCTCTCATCTGCCGGCCAGAAATCCAAACCAAGAGCACAACGCGAGGTTATCAGAGACCAGCACCCACTCACTGCTTCCTCTGCGAAACTCCACCTGGGAAGGGCACGACCCTCTGGCATTCACACACTTTTCTGTTGCCTTCTGGTCTCCTACAGACAGGACATAACCAGGCCTTCTCGGCAAGCTAAGATTCCCAAATCTTACAACTGTAGCCTTGCCAACCAGCATCTCATGATGAGAGCCACAGAACGCTACGTGTTTCTTCTTCCCCGTTAAAAGTGGTGGGGTGTCATCCTAACTTGTGTCCTTGCTGCAAAATGTTGTTACTGACTGCCAGGGCCAAAATGCAAAGAGTTCTTCAGCACTGCCTCAATGACCAGCCAGAAAACAGGATCAACAGTAGCTGGGACATCTAGCCAGCTTCCATGTCTGCTGGGAGCCAGAGTCCTCCCAGCTGAACAGCCCCAACTTACCAAGGCACAGCAGCTTCAGGAAAAGAAAAGCCGCTCCGGCAACGGCCGAAGTGGGAACCCAGCCATTAAGAAACGGAACAGCCCTTCCATGGGGAGCAGGATGCGTTCATGGAGGTAACAGGGATACCAGGGAACTTACACCTCCACCAACCCAGAAGACGAGGCGTGACAGCCCCGCATGGAGTGGGAACTGTTTGCCAGTCTCCATCTCCCACCCGTGGCCCACCTCATTACTCCAGGCAGGAAACACAGCGACCCCCTGGAGCAGACGCTCCAGGCTCAGAGGTTTGGTGGCTCCCCAGACCTATTTGCTTCCCAGGTGCAGCAGGGACACCCTGCTTTCTGCACGAGTCTGAGGGTCTTGCACGCTGTTGGACTCTGTCAGTTGAAAGTCCAGACAGGCCACATCACAGTGAAAGAAATAAAGAAAAAATAATAAATAAGTTTTAAAAAAACCCCAAGAATAAAGGCAACGTATGGCTCGACTGAGTTCCTGGCAGCTCTGCATCACAGGGCTGTCCCGCCTGAGGCCAGGGAGATGGTAAGAGGGGAAGGTACTGGCTGGAGCGAGGTGCAGGCACAGCAGGCACTGGGCTACATCACAGCACTGCTAGGGAATGCCTCCTACCATGCTGGTGTCAGTTTTGGCCCCAAAGGAAGGGATTTCACTTTTAGGACTGGACGGGGTCCCAACATCTGGCTGGATAAATCCTCTTCTGTCTATCAAACTGGAAAACAGAAAGGGAAGGGTGTGAGGGGAGAGGAGTTAAGGAAATGAAGCCTCCGCGAAGATGGGAGCTCACAAGCCACAGAGAGGGCTCTCCTCGTGGGAGCTGCTAACCAAAGCATCGGCAGGAGCGCGCTGGGTAGCACAGCTTTCTGCCCATTAGACAAACCACAAACTTATCACACAAGCCACCAAACAGCCTTTAGGCAGTTAAAGCTTTGGGTCACCACAAACCCAAATGGGAACTGGCAAAAGGTCTTCACAACAGGAAACAACATGAATGAGGAAAGAATTGGAGTGAAATACTATTCTCCCCACAACCTCCCAGCACACCGTTCAGCTCCCTGAATCCGCAGATTTACCATCTCTGAATGGCAGCACTGGCATTTCGGCACCTCTGAATCCAACAAAAAGCTTGGGGGCACTTCAGAGAGCAGGGCCAGATGTAAGTGCAAAACACACTTTGGCTCTCGCTGCACAGCCTCAGACACCCTCCCCTGCTGTTGTGTTACACTGAGTTAGCAGCTCTCAGGTGCTCCACATAAATTCAAATCGGATCCAGTGAAAAAACTTGTCTCAAGGATCCCCACATGCCGTAGGACAGGCCGGGAGCTCCAAGGCAGCCTGCAAGTCCTCAACGCCCGCAGCGCAGCGGCGGCCTGACCCTGCCCAATTGCACCCTCTTGTGACAACGCAGCAATAATCCTGGCTGCAGGTACCCGGGCTTGAGGCCTCCTTACATCTGCGGCGAAATGCCTGCTTTTGCCCTTGTTTTAACGTCGGTTCTGGTTAACTGATGGGTGAGAGCATTTGGTAGGGTGCTACTAAGCATTTTGGGTAATCTAAGTGTTGATAAAACCCAGGGTGTCCGCAGTGGCTGGTGCAGATCTCTGCTGGCAGCTTGCCACGATGCTTGATCCTCAAGAGTACAGGAGGAAAAACACGTGCTCAGAAGTACTGCCACTGCTGGTATTTACCATCTGCTGCTGAGCCTCTGGTGCCATTCCTCTCCCCTTATTGAATCGCAGGATGTGTCTTATCTGCAAGCTCCATGAAACAATTACAAGCAACCCAAACTCGTCAAGCTCAAACATGGGAAAAGCAACAGTTATATCTCCTCCTTAAACATGTTTGCAGCCTTTCTTTGCAGAGATTGGGAAACTGTTTCCTCATCGTCATCGAAGTAGAAGCATTCATGCTGACAGTCTCCCCTCAATCGTGATAAATCTGTCCTTTCCAAGGCCCTTCTCACAGAGCAAGACACAATCCCCAATGCCGTGGAGGTCCAAAGCTCTTACCTGGGATGGAATGGTCCACACAGCACCGCACAGCAGTTTGTGAGGATACTTTTATGGCTGTAGGGATTGGCAAACTCCGAGCCCCTCTTATTTGACCAGGACCCTTTGATCTGAAAGGGAAAGGATACACACAGAGTAAGATAGGAAAGATGCGACGGCAGATAATTACACAATAATGGACTCAGTTCAAAGCCTTGCTCAAGAAGCGGATGGTTTGTCTTACTGCAGATGTCCTCCCTCTCTTTGCTTTAACAAGCAGGACAGCTGCAGAAAGGCAGCCAGAGGAGACAGCAGTATGCTGCTCCTGCCTCTGCCAAGGTTCAACCTTGCAGTTAGAAAGCTCCAAAGCTGTGCACTCCCCGTGCCGCACGGCGACTTGTCAGCATTACTCCCTTCAATGCCAGCCTCCTCCTCCTCCTCCCCTCATTCTCTCCTAGGCTGAAAGCTCATCAGAGCAGGGCTCTAGCTCATGGTCCCTCCTGGGCTCCTCAGGCTGATCAAACAGCAAGGGGATTCCCAGGCTGCGCTGCAACAGGAGGAAACAATCTCATCTGTCCCCACCCTTAGCAGCTCTCACTGGGACTCTGATTTCGAAACCCGGGTCACATCAAGCGCAGGCACACACGAGTGGGCAGATGCTATACCTGGCCTCAGGCCCCCGGCTGCAGCGAACCATTTACCATTACATTTCCTCCTTTTGTTTTTACTTCCTCTCCCCGGTTGCAGCAGAAGGCTGGCAACGTGGCAATGCAGCCAGAGAGGCAATGGGCCACATGCTTCGGACCTGCTGCTCTCAGTACTGGGGTGTGACTACCATTAGCTTCACTCATCTGGCCTTGCACAGTTCTGCCAACACCTCTGAACGTAAACAGAAAGGTGGAGAGGAAAGGTGAAAAAGTGGGGGGGAAAAAAAAGGGGGGGGGGGGGGCGCAGGAAGCTTCCAGCAAGGATAACAGGTACTTCTGGCCAGAAGGGTGAATTTTTATTCCTTCCAAGGATCAGACAGATCCTGCTTTTCCGTACAATCTGCCCTGTTCAGGGTACTCATTTGGCCCTTGGAGTCTGCACGCACCCCAGACTTTGAGGTAAATCTCACCAGGAGATGTCTGTACCAGATTTGCCTATTAGACATGAGGAACCGATAGAGACAAAGGGACTTGCCCAGAGTCTCAGAGGAAACCTGTGGTTATGTGGGATGCTGAATTAAGATCACCCATGTCCCAGGCTAACACCCAAATAAACCTCTGGGGCCAGCCTTCCTTTTTTAATCTTGGAACTCCTAATTTTAAGCAAGGCCACATACAGACTGGAAAAACACACACATGTGACCTTTCTAACATTTCAGCGCATGACTCCCATAGCCTGGCACTGCCGAGGAACACGTGTTGCACAGTCCCTGCTGCTGCGTGCTGCCTTCCCCCCACTCAGCTACCTGAAACTACAGCCTAAACGCCTTGGGCACGGGCCCTTTGCTTTGCAGTGGATTATCACAGGCAATGCAGGCAGCATGCCCTACTGAGATACTGCGCTGAGGCAGGCAGCCAAGGATCCCCCGAAAGCCTCGCCTCTGCTTAGGAAGGACCAGGGCTGGCCCTGCAGAAGGACAAGCGTCCAGGTACTTACATCTTCGTTCGTCGTCAGGTTGGAGGCGACTAAGTAAGTGTGAAAACCTGAGAGGCCCAAAATAGACCAGACTGAGAAAAAACAAATCACCAACTCCAGCACAGTGGAACAAAAGTCAAGGAAGTCTCGGGGAACAAACTCATCCTGAAAGGAGAAGCAGAGGGCTGTTTTGGGAGGTGCGTGCTGCGACCACACACACTGAGCAATGAAAACATCCCAGCAAGCTTCCCACTCCCTGTGCCACTCTGCAGGCATCCTCCAAGGCACGGCCTGCTCCAGCCACTTCCCTTTCCATGTAAACTTGCAAACTAGGAAACAAGTTTGTCACCCACCCTTAGTCCCTGGTGGTGAAAAGGCTCTTCCCAATTTTGAAAGGTCTTCCCAATCTGGCGATGTTATCAGTCTACAGATTAAGAGATGCCTGCCTGCCCCAACCAGGTAGCTACGGGACTAAATTAAGTTGTGCAAAGTACACCAGGGTGACCCTACAAGGAGCTCATTGCACCTCTGTGCTACATGAGTAGAGTTGCTGCACCAGTGCTCGGCAGTCCGAGCAGCTGATGGCATCAGAAGGATATCTTGCAGGTGTTGTCTTCAGAGTGGCGAGGAATCCATCTCTCTGAGAGCCTGCAAAGCAAAACGGGACAAGAAATGACGTCCCATCAGGCAGCCTTGCATCCCCAGCCAACTCTTTACTCCTGAGCATGCAGCCACCCCGCTGTGGCCCACATGGATCTGCCTGCCTGCCTGCGAAACATCTGCAGCCTGTAACCTCACAGAAATGTCAGCACACAGACACAGCTCCAGGAGATTTGGGGCTGATGGACAAGTCACTTTCCCCGCCAGGCTAAGAGCAGATGCACCCACCAGCTCATTTGCTCTAGAGGGAATAACCCAGTCACCAGCTCTCAAGGTGTCTCTGCAGTGAGGTGCCGGGTGGATCTGTGGTTCCCTGCAGTCTGAGACCCCATTTATTCAGGCCACCTGGACTGAAAAGCCTGGTGTAAACCACCCGGGCCTTTCCCGTGCTCTGTCCAACAGGAATAGCGACCCAGTGCTGCCTCAAGTTGTTGTTCGTGGCCAGGAGCATGGCACACATTGTGCAGTACTTACGCAGAGTGAGGTGGGTGACAACGCAAGCGAAGATGAAGGCTGTCAGGAAGGAGAGGGAGAGGATGAAGGCATAGAAGTAGCGATAGTTGCGCTTCCCCACGCAGTTGCCCACCCAGGGGCAGTGGTGATCAAACCTCTCTGAAACAAAGGGACATAGTGAGGACTCCTGCCACCTCGCACCCCGTAACAGAGCAAACACTGCTGAGCCTCCGAAAACCACGGGCTACAAATTGAGCTTCCACCCACCACCCTGAGACCAGAACCCCTCTGCAGCAGGACGCTAGCAAGAAGTTCAACAGAGCACTGCCACCTGCTCACATGCCCTTTTTTATCATCAAAGGCCAAACTTTCCTCTCACCAAACCCTGCATAAATACAAGCCTTGTGACTGGTACCATCTACCATTACTAAAATCGAAAGAGAACAGGGAAAGCGCGGCAGTTTTTCCAGTACCTAGCAGCACTGGGTGTGTGCACACAGCATCACTGCTCCCTTTCTGTGTGTCAGCTCCCCCTGCCTTCCTCAGGGCAGAAAATAATTTTCAAGGTTATAAAGATACGCCTCTAAAACCACAGAAATTGCCTGGGAACGCAGGGCAGGTGCAGTGTATCTGGAAACACTCCTGACTGCCTTCTAATGAAAGGGCTGCATTTCAGACAAACAGGAGTGCGGTAACCCTCCTGCGAGGGACACCAGTGCAAACAAAACCCACCGCACAGGAAGCGTGCGCATGCCTGCTCCCCCCGACAGCTCCTCTTCAAACACTGCTTTTCAGCGAGCCGTTCCGGTGTAAGGAGGAGTCACAGCCACACACAGCCATCCCCAAACACATAATGCTTGGCAATTCCCAAGCTTCTTCTCTTAATCAAAGCCTTGGGGTCCTGCTCGTGGGTCAGTCACCCCTCAGGCTGCCCTGGAGGACAGCATAAAGCACAGCCTCCGCGTCCACACGATGCACAACCAGGAGCAGCTGCACGAGGATTAAACTCTCTGGGCATGCCCCTAAATCACATGCCACCCTGCTGTCAGTTCAAGTTGCTTCAGAGCCATCAGAAGCTTTTCTTCAGGTCTCTGTTCATTCCCTCCTGCCCCACCACACTCTGAGGGCATGGGGAGAGGACACAGAAGAGCTTAACCACCATCTACGGTGGTGTCTTCACCAGCCTGGTGACAGCAAGGCCACAGACAACAAGGAGCTTGCAGCAAACCTTGTGTCTGGTGGAGGTCTTAACTGCACTTCACAGTACCGTCCTCCCAGAACCAGGGAAAGCAGACATGGAGTCTTAGATGTGCTGCCCCTTTGCCCTGAGCCACTGCACTGGTATTGCTTTCATTTTAAATGGGAAGAAGACAGACCATTCAGTATCTCGCTTTATAATCCTTTATGAGAAGCAAAAGCAATCTGTCCAGCAATAAAACACCCCACCACACACACTAAAGCGATATCAGCACCTTTCCGCTTTCTGGGCTTACCGACACAGTTGTCGCAGACACTGCAGTGAGAGGTGCGTGGAGGGCGGAACATTTTGCAGGTGTAGCAGTACTTGAGTTTCACCACGTACTTGTTTATGACCACTTCCATCGTGCGGGCCGGCGGGCGATAGGTAGAGGTACCCATGCTGTCTGCAAGGGCAAGGAGAGACAGTCAAACTGGTGCAGGTGAAAGCCAAGCCCCCATAACCACCCCGAGCTGTTTCCTGGCAGGGTAAGGGATTGGGCACGTGCTCTCCTGATTTTAATCAAAAGCAGAGAGGCAGCTCAGCCTACAGGATTTGTTGCAGGGTGGGAAACCAGGAACTCCAGTCAGCTCCTTGCAGCTTTATTTATGTCCTCTCCTTGTCTATTCAATGGCAATGCTGCTAGGATGCCAGGAGGAAGTAATATCTGCCCAACAGTTTGAGAACACAAAGCAATTTATAAATAGGGAGCATAAAAGCAGCAGCGTAAATGTGCCCGGTCACACCAACTCATCTCTGAGTGTCTAACGGATCACAACACAAGGAGGCAACATAATCTGTCAACACACATGTGGTTCGTCCTCTGCTGTAAGCATCCAAGCTACAGAGATCAGGGTAACCTCAGCAGAAGCATCCCGCACCACCGCCAGCACACAACGTGCCAGCCCGCAGCTGGAGCCAGCAGCACTGCCAGGCTCAAGAGACTCGTTTCCATCACAGCACGGGAGGACAGCGAGCCGGTCTCGGTGCTCCAGGCAGATTTCATTGAAACTGGACGTGTGTATGTTAGTAGCACAAGAGGATTCCTCCTCCTCAAGGTCGAAATCGAGGGTTTTCTGGGGGCACTGCAAGTCGCATCTGTGTGTGCTGGCACTTCATTATTCATTGGGGACTGGCAGCTGGAGAGTGCTTCTCCACTCAGCAAAAGTGTGAGCTGGAAAAACTCTGTATCACGTTTGCAATTTTGGGGGTTATTCCTTTATTTTAGTCACTCTTAAAAGAGCACCCTTCTGACTCCAAGAAGGTCTTTGAAAATAGAGATGTAACAGCGAGCATGTTAAGAGGATAATAAGTGGATTATATTAACAGTAACAGCTGGCACATCAGGCAGCATCTGCAGCCAGATTACTGCTTTAGGCACTTATAAATAGAAACACGGATAACCACTTTGAGGATATTTTAAAGTCTTTTTTTTTAATCAGACGTAGAATTATTGCCTTGCAACTGTCTTCAGTGGGGCAGGACAGAAGTTGTCTCACATCAGCTTTGCTAAAGCATTTATTACTATAGGTCACATCAACAAGGTCCATAGATCCTGGATGTGTACACCTTCTTGGCCACCATCAAAACAGCGTGACATAGCAGTTTTTAGGTGGGGACAAGCATTAGCATACTATTAGAAACCATTACAATAAAGAAAACCTTAAGGCACAGCAGGCTCAGTGGCAAATCATAATATTAAAAAGCATTCATTCCTAAATTAATTAGCCTAAATCCTCACCACACGTATTTTGCAGAAGAACATACACTGCCTGCTGTGCTTCAGAGAGAGCTTGTCGCACATCTCTTACTGGGACTCGTAAGACACTGTCAAGCCTCATGATCTGATAACTCTGGCCTTTTCTCCAGAGACTCACTGAGCCTGAAATGTGCGTGGCACACACACACACACGCAGCGGCATAGAATCACAGAATCTTTGGGTTGGACGGGACCATTTAAGGTCATCTAGTCCACCCCCCCCTGCAATGAGCAGGGACAGCTTCAAATAGATCAGGTTGCATGCACTGGACCACACACAGGAGAGGGAATAGAAGTCTCACCAATTCGCTTTTCCAGGTCTGCGGCCTCGCTTGGGGTGGCTCTGGGCAGGATACCTGGGTCTCTGAAGCTTGTCTGGAGCAGGCAGCTGATGACAAAGAAGAAGAGGATGGCTGCGATGATGGGGATGGCCAAGGTGAGGTGACTGGCAAGGAAGGGGCAGCTGTTAAAAGAGGAGGAAAAAAATGCATTGTTACCACCCATCGCTACAGAACTGGCTATCAGCTGTGACACTACACACTATGAATTATCACGGGGTGGTGAGCTGAAGTGCTGCTGCTTTGCAGAGACCTCTGGAACAGAAAGAGCCAGCCCAGAAAACACCAGAGTAGCACTGGGAAGACAGGGTCTTTGGCACAAAGACGGCAGTGCAAGCCCCTGTACGCAACCTCTTTGCCCTTCCAAAGGCCCAGAACCGCATTTCAAAAACCTGTCAGCTGCCCCAAAGCCCAGTCACCTTCTGTAACAGCAGCATCAAGAACACATGGAGAAAAACTCCAAGCTAAGCAGGAATCAAAATCAGCGTGAACACGATCCCTTTTGGTCCAACAGATGAAGCTGAGAGGGAATTTGGCTTTGATTCAACACAGCTTTACTATCTCTGGATGACTCCTGTGCCCTTCGTGGTGTGCCAGATGTTTGGATGAGGACGCCTTCCAGCACTGACACTGCTGTGACAAGCCACCAGGCACCTCAGCAGACGATGCCCACTCCTGGGCTCGCTGTACTACCACCTGGGACTGTTTTTCCACAGACGGGGACTGGCACGATCGCACTCCACATCAGGGCGGCTCCGTTACTTGCAGCACAACAAGTGAAGACGGCCGAGGAACACAGCTCTTTGCACGGCATGGTGCCGGAGACCCCTCCCGTCCCTCGCTCCGCAGAGGGATTTGCTATTATAAGCACCGATAAGTACCCAGAGCCGAGCACAGACAGGCAAGCTGCTTGAGCCCTGATGTCTGCAAGCAGCGTTAAGTCTCAGTAACGCTGCGAGGCAGTTTGAGAGGATTAAGCAACTTTTGTTTCAACTCCCAAGCTCAGCTTGTCCAGAACAAAGCAGCCACCGAGCAACAAAACCCCTTCGGCCCGACACCAACGCTGCTGCCGAGCCCCTCTGTCGTCTCCCTGACAGAGGGACAGAAAGGTCTCTGAAATGAGAGGCGTGAGCTTGTTGCCACCCCTTTCCTGGGAAAACCTTTGGACCCCGCTTTCCCCCATCAGGCAACAAGAAATCACATAAAAAATGTGAACTGTAGACACAGGCAAGATGTATTTGCTATACATTTAGCAAACCGTAACCCATGCCACAGAAGCATGCTGCTAAAATAACAACTTGGAAAGCCCCAGGACACATTCAACCAAGAAAGAGTGACTAGGCAAGAAGGGAGGGGAGGAGAGCAGATGTCCTCTGCTTGGCCCTGTACAAAGCAGTTACTGTGCTAGTGCTGCCCATTAGTTTCAGATACAGCAGAAAAAGCTGTTGAAGAGGCACAGATGACACTAAGAAAGGAGTTTTCACATTGGGATGCCATTACTGCCTCCCACAGCTGCCTGCCCCTTTCAGCTCATCTCAGAACCTCTAATCCGATCAAATACCTTCATCTGCAGGCTTGGGCAGCTTTGCTCTGAGACTCGCAGAGATAACGCCATGATCCAAAGGCAGGCATAACCCCCCCGCTTCGTACAGTGGCAGGAAAAACAAGCTCTCTTCCCTCCCACGACAGAAAGGCAGAGACTGGAGAGCAAAAGCCCTCAGAGGTGTCAATAACCAACGATGCTCCTTCCCCGGCTCCTCTGGGCAGCGCAGGACGTAACGGGGTGCTCTCGGCTCTCCCCTCCCTTGGGGTGCGGAGAGCTTCCTAGGGCCAGTTTTCCAAAAGCAAAGGCAACTGGGGGAGATGCAGCTCCCTCTTCCCCGGACATCACTCCACAACGCGGACAGAGCTCCTGTGCAGACTCTCAGGGTGGGACCCCAAAGGGTTTTACTGTCCATCAAGCATTTTTAACAGAAGCACTATAAACACTATAAGGCCACCAGACTTGGGGGTTTCCCTGGCTGCAATTCTGGACCAGTTCTCTCCTGGGTAGCAGGAGGGGAGACGGGGGTGGGGGTGTATTTAGAGACATGGGGGGCATACTGGGAGGATGTTAAACCTCTTCCCTGAGCAAACAAGGTCCAGGGTTGCCCCTGCTCACCCCTCCTGCCCCCCACATACCACACCTGAGGACCGGCAAAGGGGAAGCAGTGACTGCCTGCAAAGTGGGTATGGGGGCTGTGCAGCAGGAAAATGGCGGGGG